GTAAACGTAAGTAAACAGCCAGAAATAGAACCAGAGCTTTCGGACAACACTAGTCCTTCCTCAGTGGCGATTGAGTGAGGGTAGAAAAAGCTAGATTGTATAAAGTGAGAATTTCATGCAAGCATGATTGGAAACAATAGGCTGGGTGAGATTAGAATAAACAGCCTAAACAAGTAAACAGGAAGGCCAAAACTAAACTATAGAGACAAGCCTCAATAAATAAGCCAAATGATTTATCCAGAATAAATTGAAATGCCATTGGTTTAATTAAGTGTACTGGGAGAACGTTCCTAATATTGAGTCCAAATGGTGTGGTTGTTTTAAGTAAAAGTTCCCAGTGATTCTCTCTATCTTTGCGATTTTTGTCGCTCCAACTGGCATTATGGTCAAATGCAATCACTCTGAAATTTGAAATTGAATGACCAGCTAAATTGAAATGTTCGGCTACTGGTTGATCAAGCTTAGATGTTCTGATAGCTGATCTATGTTGTGTCATTCTCATACGGAGAGTGTTTTTTGTTTCTCCCACATATTGCTTACCACAAATATTACAATATATGAGATAAATGACATTTTTGGTGAGGCAATTAATTGATTGCCTTATCCGAAATATGTATGTATATATATATATATATATATATATATATATATATATGTATGCCTATATGTATAATATACGGTATATATTGAAATACAAACAACGAAATCTTTCGGCCGTAAACCTTTATCAAGTTAAAAAAGATGAGATATACCTGTAGTTATTAAGCAACCAATCTAATGCATAGAAATAACCGAAAGATCTCGGGTAATGTTGCAAATGTGCCACAGAGAAGGACAGCATAAACGAACTTAAACTTCTGTTTGTGGGACATGCGCATATTGCTGGCCATGTTCTAATTGGTACGTTAATTGACATTTTGGAAATGTCCATTCCAGGTATTTGTGGATATTTTGACAACATATTCAGTTAATAAATACAATATTGTAAGAATAATGACTGATAATCTTTATGACTAAGCAAACAGAAAATAATTTGTTACTCACAAGAAGCAAAATATCTTTGACGCCAATATTGGGAAAAGTTGGTCGAATACGTACCTGCAAGCATATTGAATCAAACAATTAAAACAATGTCATAAGATATAAACTCAAATACCTACTGCCCATCTCTTAATACCATTGTATAAATTATAGATCGCCTAGATTCATGTAAATGGTAGAATTAATGGTATATACTGTAATAACGCCAATGGATCTTGCGGCACCAACAAAAAGCAGGAATTCCATATGAATATTGCTCCATATTGCCAATCGGTCGCCTTTCTTCATTCCAATGGATAAAAGTCCTGTAGCCAATCGTTCAACCTAGAAGGAAACATTAAACAATGTATGCCAATGCAATATTTTCAATGATAATATCTTTCAAGGCCCTATTTCGTGAACGCAGGTCCATGGGTGGGTGCACGTCTATTGTTGAGCTAAGACCTCCAGACACCACTGACGTATTTTGGCTTAGACCTATGTGCGAGTAAAAGAAGCGCACTCGCACTCCTACAACAAAGCTTGCACTATTGGCGTTCCTAAACTCGCAAAAAATTCCGAGAAGTTTTATCCGATTTTATGTTCGCCGAACAGTAGTCGGGCGTCGAATGACCTTGTACTGATATTCTAAATTCACCGAATGATGCAAGTAGTTTATAATGTGCTGACTTAGATTAGTTTTTAATCACTCTCTGGTGTAATATAATGTAGGCTGTCTAAAGAGAAGTTTACGGAGCAAGATACTCTGAGACCAGTGGCGTATTCAGGAATGGGGTGGGTGGGGGCGCATGCCTCTTTTCCAAGGGCGTCGATCCGTGGTTGAAAGTTTGGGGGGGGGGGACGAAATGAAAAATAAAGCATTGGGCCGTAGGACCAAGCCTTTTAACTGAATTTAAGCAATGCAATTAACATTTATTTTCATACGAAATTTTCAAAATATCCAGTGGCGGATCGAGTAATTTGAAATAGAGCTGGGCCCAGAAGAGGGACTTTTACAGATTGAGAGTAAAGACTACCAGAAACTACTAAGAAAATTTAGGATTATAGCACCTCTAGTTGGTCGGAAATTGCACTCTCAGACTGAATTTGAATATTATTTTTAATTTTTCTCCACTTTAAATTTGGGAAAAAAAAAAAATAAGGGATGGTGGGCCGGCTGGGGCCCTTGAATCTGCAACTGAAATACTCATCATAAAAAAGTTTTTAAAATTATCCTTTTAGTCATATGTCCGCTTATATATTTTGTGCAAACTAACATTCATAAAAATAATGATTTATTATCTACTGATTAGCTTATAACGTATTCAATATTCGAACTATGAAAAACAAATAAGATACTTAAAACAGTTATTAATTTAGTCTTTTTTGCATGTACAGTACTTTCAAAATCAATCAAGAGGTTTTTGCTTTTCTTTTTTTGAATTTCACTTTTGTGTAAGTAATATTGCGACTAAACTATTGTGAGTGGAGACCCTCTAATTTACGATCAAACACAAAACATTAGTTAGCATTTTGATTTCACAAACATAAAGGTTATTTACTTAATTTATCATTATCAGTGGCGGCTCCAGGAAAGCAAAATGGAGGGGGAATGTGGAGGGAATTGCACGTTGGGAAAGTACAGTAGATCACCTCAGCCTTATCATGGTTGGGGCTGAGGAAAGAAAATTTGTTATTATGACACCTCTAGATTGCCGGAAATGGCACTCTCATACCTAAATTCTAATTATATACATTTTCCTTTGTTTTTTTCCATTTTTTAAAAATAATTATGAAAAATTTAGGGTCGGCTCGGCCTAACTTGAACGAATCCGCCACTGATTATTATGAGGTCATTGCGAGATTGCGTCAACGTAACACTGGAGTTTGTAAACTTTTGGTAGGCCTATCACTTAATCCATAGACATATCTGTGTCAAAGGCTGTATAATTATTGTTTAATAATGGCTGTATAAAATTCAATTGACGAACTATAATTTTTTTAAATTAGAAAAAACATTGATCCTATGTAGGGTATGTAGGAAATATTAAACACTAGTATATACGTACGGGTCATATAAAAGGAATAAAGGTAAATCGTTTATAGTAGAAATTGTGCACTTTTGAGTTTGTAAAAATATTGACCTAATAAGTATACATGCTTCTAATTTTAACAACGTTCAGTACATCCTTTTCACAATAAGCCTCTGATAAACGTCGCACCCACAAAATCGATCTGAGATGGTTAAGAAATGTACGTAGGCCTATAAACAATTGCGTTTTTACTCGGTTTTGGTCCGGAAAATACGTACCGCGCTTAGAAAAGTGACAGAAAAATAAATGAGTCATGCGTAATTGTATTCTTTCCATTCGCTTTTAAAAGTGGGGTTTTAATTATAGAAGATTGGTGAAAAGTGGGGGGGGGGAAACGCGTCCCCCTGTCCCCACCGATTGACGCCCATGCTCTTTTCCCGCAACTAAAAGTCGCGTCCACTCCAGTCTCTCCCACAATGAAAAAGATCGTACAGTATAATTATGCTAAAAAAGAAGTAAAAAATCTCCAGATATCAACTTATCGCGCGAGCTAGTTCCTCGATTCCCCATATCATCCTTTCGCCCCACACCCACCTAATCAGTACCCCTACACCCCATATATCATCTTCGTTCGCCCCACACCCACCCAATCATCACCCCTCACACCCTTTAAATCAAGACTCCTCCTCGATAGGCTACGTCACAACCAGAAAAGAACAGAATAAAAGTAACCACGATGTATTAATAGATGCCTTTAAAGGCTTTTTGTACATACCCGATCTTTATATAAATTGAAGGTGATTCTGTCACCGTCTTCGGGAAAGACATACATTTCACGATCTGGATGTTCATTAACCCTCTTCTCAAGCAGCTGATGCAACGTCTGTCTCTTATGGTGAAAAGTGGGGGGGGGAAACGCGTCCCCCTGTCCCCACCGATTGACGCCCATGCTCTTTTCCCGCAACTAAAAGTCGCGTCCACTCCAGTCTCTCCCACAATGAAAAAGATCGTACAGTATAATTATGCTAAAAAAGAAGTAAAAAATCTCCAGATATCAACTTATCGCGCGAGCTAGTTCCTCGATTCCCCATATCATCCTTTCGCCCCACACCCACCCAATCAGTACCCCTACACCCCATATATCATCTTTGTTCGCCCCACACCCACCCAATCATCACCCCTCACACCCTTTAAATCAAGACTCCTCCTCGATAGGCTACATCACAACCAGAAAAGAACTGAATAAAAGTAACCACGATGTATTAATAGATGCCTTTAAAGGCTTTTTGTACATACCCGATCTTTATATAAATTGAAGGTGATTCTGTCACCGTCTTCGGGAAAGACATACATTTCACGATCTGGATGTTCATTAACCCTCTTCTCAAGCAGCTGATGCAACGTAAGTCCAATGAGAGGAGAACTTTGATTCGAACTAGCATAGCTGATATTCAACGACACCTCCATCTTACTACTGTACGAAGAATTAATACCCGTAACCAAAAACTGAAATGAACGCTCTCCTGCAGTTAATACTACTGACCTGATTTCACTTCAGCAAAATGACCAAAGGAAAAACAATATTAGTGATCTGCATCCTTGACCTACAGTATTTGACCGACCTTTTGATCTATTGCCTTTGTATAGTCACCACTCACAAATGCGAAGCGTTCAATAAGGCCAAGTAAAAAAAAGTACTTGTTAGCGTCACATCTCAACCAATTTTAAGGCGGTGAGGGGAGTTTTTTTTTTTTTTTTTTTTTCAATCAATCTACAGTATCTGTAATCCACGAATCCCCGTTGAATAAGATGATACTTTAGCAGTACCATTACACCTGATTGTAAAAACATTTGATTTTGATTAGCCTTTCTTCATTTTTTTTTAATGAAAAAAAAATCCCGCCTCTCAAATTTTTATTTTGGGTCGAAAATTCAGATGGCCCTAACTTAAATACGCTTAAAACAAGCTAAATTTAAAAAAAAAAATCAAAAAAAAAAAAAAAAATCAGTGAATTAAAATGTCAAAAAAAAAAAAAAATTAACATGAAAAGAAAAAAAAAATTAAATTGGAGAGTATCCATACAGTACTCATTGAACGTTTACCATAATATAATCATAAAGAACTGATGTACATTCTTGTATTAAAAAAATAATCACCTAATTTAGTTTGATTTACGTGTACTGTAATACTATAATAAAAACACCTTACATCAATACACAAATGGTCCACGGCATATATTACTTAAACGTAAAGGGTAAAGGTAGGAGGATAACCCAAAACTAGCAGCGTTATTGTGCTGAATTGCGTAAGGGCGTCGTCCGTGACTACCTAGCAGCCGAAAAAGAGGCGCTTCTTGGTAGATACATGTTCTCATCTTTCTACGACAGGGACTGAAATGAACCATTAACATCGAGGTAACCCCACTCTTCCGAAAGTTGCAATGGGTTCTTTAAAGTGCACACGAGCCAGATGTATACACTGCACCTCCATTTTAAGTCTCTATTCTAGAAAACGTGGTTCTACCAACCGAACCATGGGCGAGAAGCGGCTGGAACCAGCGCCGTAGCTGTAGCAGCGGCGCTCCTGCCTTACCGATCGGCCACTCGACTCCTCTTGTGTTCAAATACACATACACGTTTTTTTTTTGGTTTTTTTTTAACTGATGTAATTTTAATGTATAGGCAAATAAAGTGATGTTACTACCTATCCTATAAAACAGTGGCAAGCAGCCTGGTAAATACAGTAGTAAAACTTGGTTCTTCATATAAAAAAGCAAAATGAATCTACATGTATTGTAATCAGATTTTATATTTCCACCTCTTCTTAACCTTGGCCATCAATCTTGCAGATCATCATTATATATGTTTGGCCATCAATCTTGTAGATCATCATTATATATGTTTTCCATTGAAATATGATTGTTATTTTGAAAAATAGCAAAAATGCATCCATTCGATCAACATAATCCTCAAACTTGTTTCACTAAAAACGCCAATACTACCATAAACTGCCATCATCATCGCCAATTTCCGTATTTAGGGTTTAATGTAGAATATAAAACAATAGTAAAGACACAAGTGAATCGATTAAAAGTGTTTATTTCACATATG